TGAAACTAAAGGTACCCAAACAGAAGCAGGATAATCACGGGCAGAGACAATGACATCAAATGTTCATTGGATGTGTGGATTGGGCCCCATCTCTCTTCCAATCCTGAAATTTTCTTGTTTTTTAACTTTATTTTTTTTAATTTTTAATATTCATTTTTCAGTTTTCGGCAGACACAACATCTTTGTTTGTATGTGGTGCTGAGGATCGAACCGGGGCCGCACGCATGCCAGGCGAGCGCGCTACCGCTTGAGCCACATCCCCAGCCCCCAATCCTGAAATTTTCAAATTCTACTTATAATATCAAAATCAAGTTGCATTTTATCCACAAGCTGTCCTGAGTACTCCTCAGACAATTCAAAGACAAATCAAAAAAGTTCTCTAGGGTTTCTCTAAATTGAAAGCTCCTGAAAATGTGAAGCAGGCATCAGGTCCTAATCTAATAAATGCAGTAGCAGCAATATAGCCTCCATTTCAGAGGTGTCAAGAGGATGTGTAGACAGAGCCAAGGATTCTGTATTGGAAGACTTCTTCCATGAGCTCTTACATGTCTTGCTGGGTATGCTAAGACTACAAGGCTCTGGCCATTCTTCACCAGGACTACTTCTTAGAGTTATATATGTAGCAAGAAACCTTGAGAGAGGACAAAGAGCAGAATTGTTTATTGCTTACTATAAAAATGTAGGTGTCCCTAAACTCAGTATTCTCTTGAAATCCACACAGGCCCTTCATGCACCCCTATGTGACTCTAAGAGATGGGAAACCAATGAAAATATAGGCATACTTCAGAGATATTATAGGTTCAGTTCCAGACCACCACAAATAAGCTAATTTCACAATAAAGCAAGTCACATGAATTTCCCATTTCAAAGTTATGTTTAGGAAGATGTGGCTCAGTGGTAGAGCACTTGCCTAAAATGCTCAAGGCCCTTGGTTAAATCCCCACCACCAGACACAAAAAAGAGGTTGTGTTTACTGCAGTCTTACATTGTGTCTAAAAAAAAAAAACCAATGTATATCCCTTAATTAAAAGATATTTTATTGCTAAAACAATATCTGTGAAGAACAATAAAGCAAAGCACAATAAAGTATGTCTATATGATACTCATGCCACCTGCTACACCATGATTAGTGAAGTCCTTTGTCACTGATCCGGAAGACTGATGTCCTCAGCCAGCATCCATGAAACAGTAGCAGACTAAGTTATTAGCACTCCAACAGATGGAACACATGAGAGCAGAGAGGGGAGGGCAAGCTTGTCTCAAACCTGAAAGCAGTTTGGTGGCAGGGAGCCTTCAAGAGCAGTCTTAGGGTAGGATCCAGAAGTATTCTCCCCACTCCATCTCCCATCTATACAGTGGCCACTGTGAACATAGGAGATGTCTCATAGCAGAGACTAACAGCTTCTGTTAGAACTGGCCCAAACTGGTGAAAGGAAGACCCTGGCATGCCTTGTATAGACTTGAAAATCCTCTAATGCCACAGAAGTGCTGGCCAAGCTTCAAAGCTCTCACACAATACTCACTTGAGCTAAGCCTCAAGTACATTAAAGGGGTCACAGAGAAGGTCACCATCTTATTACAAAGTATCTTATGTGAAGCCATTTGTTGCACACACAATTAAAATCACTTTCACTGGAGCTCTGGATAAAGGAATAGGATATTATATCTCATTTACTTCATATTCTTCTATAATATGAAATAAAATGTGCATATTATATACATGTGAATTCTTAGTGACACTCTCAGGATTCTAGACATGTACTGATAAATACAGTATACTCTAGCCACATGTAGCTATTTAAATTAGAATTAATTAAAGTCAAATAAATGTTAAAACTCAGGAAATCAGCAGTACTAAAGCTAGACAAGTTCAAGTACTCACTATCAAAATGTGATAGTGGCTACCAACTTGGACAGCAAGAATACACAGTCAGCCATCCATACCTATGGATTGAAATATTCAGGGAAAAAATTGCATCAATATTGAACATGTACAGACTTTTTTTTCTTACTGTTATTTTCTAAACAATACAACAACTTTTTATTCTTTTCTTGGGGTGCTGGGGATCTAACCTGAAGCTCTGAGCATGTTAGACAAATACTCTATGATTGAGTTGTGTCCTCAATCAATAACAACTATTTACATAGCATTTATATTGTATCAAGTATTATAAGTTATCTGTACAGGAAGGTTGTATAGGTTCTATGTAAATCCAACACTATTTTATATAAAGGACTTGAACATGAGCAGATTTGGTATCGTCATCCTCAGGAACCTTGGAACAATCTCCCATGGATACGAAGGGATGTCTATAGCCCAATGAACATTCATGCTTGTTTCCAACTGACCAGTAATCACCTTTAAAGACTTCTTTCCTGTCACTATTATCATAAATTATTTAACCACAAAAGAAATCCTTAACAGAGTCTAACTTCAGACTGAAGAACATTTTCACCATGGGGGTTTCAGCAGTATATTCACTCTGTGATAATTCATTGAGTTATATATTTAGCATTTTTGTATTATGCATATATGTATGATGTGATCCATCAGGATATTTTCTAAAATAAAAGTATCTTTCTTTCCACTTTTTCATTTGAGAAAACAATGCAACCCCACAAAATGGCCCACCTCATCTCAAGCTGTAAAAGCCTTCACCCGCGTGGCACCAGACCACTCTCTGTACTAGGTTCTCTTACATCCCAGGTCAGCCACATGGTGAAAGTATCAAAGGAAACAGGAGGTGTCAGGCAAGGGGATGAAGTAAGCCTCAGGCTACACAAAGTTAGAAAAGTGGAGACCCTTGATTGGCCTACAACAGCTAAAGGTCAAAGACTTTCCACAGTTTGGTCTCATTAAGCAAACCTCCTCTCACAGCTTGACCTGCATTTTGAAAATAATTAGAAGTTTTTTGTTTTGCAGTGCTAGGCATAGAAGCTGTTAGGTCCTTAGGCCAAAGTAACTCCATTTTGAAAAGCCCACCCAAGCCTGACCTTCTCATTCAGCCCCAAAGAGTCCCTAACTACCTAAACCACAACAAAGACACCAAGTAACAATCACAGGACCAGATGGGTTATTTTTTTAACTACTTCATTGTGCATGACTATATAGTTAAGAAGTTTTTTCAGCAGACTGCTGCACCTTGCAGAAGGGCAGCCTTGCTGATATTCTCTGTCAAGGAACTTTTGCTTGACTCAGAGGTATGTCTCTCCTGGATATTTGTGCAAGCTACCCTAACAGAACCCTGGGCCTCATGCCTGCTAGGCAAGTACTTTGCCACTCAGGCTACCTGCCCTATAAGTACTTTTTAAAGGAGTCTTCACAAAATGAGGGGAGAAGAAAGTTTTTTAATATCTGCTTTCTTAATAAAGATTCTATCATTGCTTAAACCAACCTTGTCTAGTGTGATTGCCATTAGTCATAGGGAATGTTAAGCTCCATCTGTATGGTTTTTAGGTATGAAGTGGCCCCAAAGCTTATGTGTGAGACAATGAAGAAAGTTTACAGGTGAAATGATTGGGTTATGAAAGCTTTAACCTTGTCAGTGCATTAATCCATTAATAGGGATTAACAGGGTAGTAACTGTAGGCAGGTAGGGTAGGTTGGTCATTGGGGCATGCAGGCCTTTGGGATTTAAATTTTGTCTCTGGTGAGTGAGAGCTCTCTCTTCTTCCTGATTACCATGTTCTGAGCTGCTTTCCTCCACTATACCTTTCCACTATGATGTTCTGCCTCATGTGGGGCTAGAGCAATGGAGCTGGTTGTATATGGATGAGAGCTCTAAAACCATATATAAACTTTTCTTCTTCTAAAATTGTTCCTGTTAGGCGTTTCCGTCACAGTGGCTTAAACAAAAAACAAAAAAAAAAAAAGCTGACTAAAACATATGCACTGAAAGTATTAAATATATGCTGGATTTTGAAAACAATGTTAAAAAAGTAAACTATTTCATTTATAAAATTTAATACTTGTTTAAATAATAACACTTTAAAGATACTATGTTAAATAAAACGTGCTATAAAATTTTTCATTTTTTTTTTTTTGAGATAGGGTCTTGCTATGTTGCCCAAACTACCCTTGAATTCCTAAACTCAAGCAATCCTCCCCTCACCCCAACCTCCCAAGTAGCTAGGATCATAAGCATGCATCTAGTTTTATCTATTACTTTTTACTTTAAAACAACTACTAGAACATTTGATTACAAATGTGATTTGTATTTTCACGTTTATAGACTTGCTAAGGAAAGCTAGCCAATGGAAAGTTATATATAATATGCCTCCCCTTCTTAACTTTCTTTTCTTAAGAAAAGAAAGTGGGCATGGGAGCACACACCAGAAATCTATTTGTTAAACCGATGAGGCCTTCACCCTCAGAAACGCCAATCCATGCGCCAGGTGTGTTCAGGTGCATTCGCTGTTCGGGCTTCCAATTACCTCCTAGCAGACAGGAATGCACCCTACAGGCAGCCTTGACTAGCATGCACCTGAACCCTCCTTTCTGGGCTACTCTCATCTTTTACTATGACCTTGGGCAAATTGCTTCATTTCCGTTTTCTTATTCAAAAACTGTGAATAACAATACAGTTATCGCAGGATTATTGCCAAAATTTATTTTCCTTATGCTCAATGCCTTGCGCGCCTATTGGACTAGCTAAGATAGGCCCGGCATCATTTGGTGGATCCCAGGAACTGCACTGCAATCGCAGCCTGCTCCGTCAGCTTTCGGACCCTTCAGGTCAATCAGCACCAAGTTTCACATTAACACTCTACAGGGTGCTTCTACCTGACACCGCCGCTGACCCAGACGCTTTCCCAGCCTGGTCAGCTCCGTGAAGAGAAACAAGAGCCCCTTGGAGGGCGGGAAGTTGGCGCACCCAACCGTTCGCAGGGAGGGTGCCCACCCGGATGGACGCTACGCGTGGGCCCAAACGCGGGATAGCGCGTCCCCAGCGCCTCCCCAGGCTCCATCGTTAATGGCACGACACTTCGGAACCCTTTACCTGCCAACAATCACCACCCCGCCGGCCGCTGAAGACGCCATGGCCAAGAGCCTAACTGGGCCAGGGACGGTCACAGCGAGCGCGAAGACCAAATCACGGGCGGGGCTGTCCTGCGCGGAGCTCGGTGGCAGGTCCCGGCGCCGTGGGGTTGGAGGCGTGCCCCGCGCCCATTGGCTGCGCACGCGCTGGTGGGGTGGCACCGAGGCTGCGGGCGGGGCCGGCAGTGCGGTGGCCCCCACTGGGCTACACAGCCCTCTCCCTAGCGCCCCAGGGCGCTGCTGACGGAGCGTTTACGTTATGAGCACCATTTATTAAATGGATATTCCTTGGAATTACCAAGGAACACGCAAGAACGCAGGACCGAAAGCGAAAAGAGCAGACTCTTCTGATGCGAGTAATTCGTTTATTTTGTAGTTTCTAAGTGTGCACGGTGAAACAAACCAGTGTCCACGGAAAGAGACTGCCAGGCTGGCACATGACTAGACCACTAAAGCATCCTAAAGAAACGTTCACGAGTATTTCCCATTTGAGGATAGTAGCCACCTTTTCAGTACATACACACTGGGTTTACACCAGTGATTCATTCTGCTTCCAAGTTCTGAGGCTCCAGAACTTTGGGAGAGCAGAAAAGGGAAACTCCTGATACGTTACTCTGCGAAACGGGAGGACATATTTGAATTCCTTATATTGTGCACTGGCGACTATGAAATGCACTTCCTCCTTCCAGAGGCCAACTTGGTTTATGTGTAAGAAAAGGGAACTCTCTTAATGCCCTGAAGCCTGGCTCTTTTTGGAGCCGGGCACAGATGAAGGAAAGGGCATCTTAACGTTGCATGACAAAAGTTTGTGTCCACACAGCACAAGTGAAAGGGGAAATGCCACGGCCCTCCAGTTGAAAAATGATTAGGCAGCACTCTAGCTGGAAATGTGACCAACACTGACAGGTTCAGATGATGAATGGAGGTCTTTCTTCAGTTTGTTTTCCCCAAGTGAAAACACGGAAATAGAAGTCTCAGAGAGATTAGGTTTTAAAGAACAATCTCACAAACTTTCAATAAACATATGAAAAGATATTCAACTTCATTAAACAAAAATGAAAAGTGACACAACAACAATAAGTCTCTTTCACCCATGAAACTGGCTAAAGGATAGGTAGAAAAGAGACAGGGAAGGTAAACAAAATTATAATTGTAAATCTAAGCTCCAAGTACATCCTCACCTTTACTCCCCAAGCCTGTTTTTCCCCAAGCCTGAATTCATAAAAAGTCTTTGACTCTTAGAGTATTGTGAATCCAGATGATTAATGCCTACATAAATTACTAGTTTATATAGCATATTTTCTTTAGACTAAATAAAGCAAAGAGAAAATATAGTTAGAGAGTTATGATTTGGGTATATTCCAAACATTGTGTATTGACTGGATGACATCAACCAAGAGATGCTGAAAAACCAGACCACTATGATTCACCCTGTGCTTTTTAAGAAAATTAAGCTTACTGCCAGGCCTAGTGGCATAGGCCTCTAATCCTCAAGAGGCTGGGTCAGGAGAATCACAGGTTGGTAAGCCAGCCTTGGCAACTTAGTGAGGCTTTAAGCAACCTAGTGAGACCCTGTCTCAAAATAAAAAATTTAAAAGGGGGTGGGGGAAGCTAGGGATGTGGCCCAGTGGTTAAGCACCCTTGGGTTCAATCCCCGGTACCAAAAAGTAAACTAAGCTCACTAGACTGAGGTCAACTCAACACACATTTCCCACATTGGCTACTTATAAATTTTCTTTAAAGGAAGAGCCAAGACCCCAAAAGTGCATTTCACTCAAAGCATTTCTCACTATTGAGTGACACACCTCTCTCTTTGTGTTTTCTGCTTTATTGTTTGCTTTCCTAAATAAATATCTTTGCTTTCTTAAATAAACCTGTGTTTGTGTCTCTTCTAACACATCCTAAAATTCCTTTCTGTGGCATAAGCCAAAAAACAGGATTGAGTTGAGATCCTCTTCTTCTCTCAGACCCCTTTTCGAATGACAATGAAGTATTTCAGAGCTACAATTCTTTCACAAAATTTAAGGCAGGCTTAAATTGGCATAGTCTTTCTAGAGGAATTGTCATAGTGTATTGTTGGGAAAACTTGCAGCTACTGTCCTTGGGCATCTCTGGTGTTCTGATTGAGTTGTACCAGACTCTAAGGCTTCCATCTTCTGATGCTGAGCAGTTTCTGTAGCTATGCACACAGTGAGTACCCTGTGACTGCTCACTACTGGGGGTGGGGTTGCTGCTCACTCTAAAGTTTGTTGTTTGCTCAAAAAGCACTGGGCCCTCAGGGGCCTAGTCATGCCTACATGTATCAGCTACTTGGGTTTGAGGCCAGTATGGCAAAACACCATCTCAAAAAAATTAGAAAAACAAATAAACTACAAAAATTTTTGAGCCTTTTATTTGAGGGGGCAGTACCAGGGATTGAACTCAGGGGCACTTGACCACTGAGCCACATTCTCAACCCTATTTTTTTGTATTTTTTATTTAAGACAGGGTTTCACTGAGTTGCTTAGTGCCTCACTTTTGCTGAGGCTGGCTTTGAACTCGCAATCCTCCTGTTTCAACCTCCAAAGTGCTGGGATTACAGGCATGTGTCACCATGCCCTGCTTGTTTTGAGCCTTTACCCATTGCAAATGCAGGGGTCATCCAGCCCTGCATGTAACACTACAGGAATTGAAGCCTCAAGAACCCTGTAAAAAGCCAGGTCCTATAGTATATGGCTGTAGCCCCAGGCTGAAACAGGAAGATCTCCTGAGCCTAGGAGTTGGAGGCCAGCCTGGGAAACAAAGCAAGATCCTGTTTCAAAAAACATTAAAATGAAATAAAATTTTAAGAAAAAATCCTTTGTAAGTATGCCAACATACTGGCTATTGTTTCAATATAAGTCAAAAGTTCTTCAATTTCTAACCCAGGCATTTCATTTCTTCTGTCAGCATCCACAGAACTATAGAAAATTAATCTTTTAGCTTGCAATTAAGTGAAAAGACTGCTCACAGTTGTTGATATTTCAAAATATTAAATGTATGTGCCTTTTGGCCAATCCTAGAGGCCAATCTTATTGTACAGAAATGCAAGAGGAGAGGAAGATGGACAACATTATTTCCATATAGCTTCTAATTGATTCCATGGTAAATATCTATCTATGAGAAAGGGTTTTAAAGATTATGGAATTTAGCTGGACATGGTGGTGCATACCTGTAATCCCAGTGACTCAGGAGGCTGAGGCAAAAAGACTGCAAGTTCAAGAACAGCCTCTACAACTCAGTGAGATTTTGCTTCAAAATAAAAAATGAAAAGGGGTGGGGATGTAGTTCAGTGGTAAAACACCCCTGAGTTCAATACCCAGAACCACCAAAGGAAAAAAAAAAGATTATGGAATTTTCAAAGAATATCTGCTTAAGACCAAGAGGGAGTTACAGGAACAAAAGCAAAATGAGCAGAATTTGCAGGACATAGTACCAAAGAAGAAGATGATGCACAGAGGAGAACATGTTCCAGGCCTCTGGAAAAGAGGCCCCTCAAGTTTTTAGCTTCAAAATGTGGTCCAAGAAAGGAGTAGAATAATCCTCAGAACTCACATAGGCTGAGGAGATCTGTGTTCCCATCAGCCAAAGTGGGAAGACCTCGTAATACAGAGGACATCAGTAAAATCCTCAGAAATCATGCATTAGTAGTGGAAAAATTCTCCCGGAATCACCCTGAAAAAGATTAAAAGCAAGCCTCAAAAGGACCAATCTAATTCCAAGTTAACTGCACTCCAGAACAAATTCCAATATTAAAGGAATAAAGCAATTTTGGAAAAGAATAAATTTAGGAGAATTCAAGCTGATTTCAAGACTTCTATAAAGTAAAGTAATCAAGACAGTGTGATATAAAAAAATAAAATAGACATAAGTCTTGGAGTAAGGGGAAATAGAGAATTACCATTTAAGGAGTAGAAAGTTTCAATTTTGTGGTATTATGATATAATAAGAAATATGTATAGTAGTTCCCCCGTACCCACAATTTTGCTTTTATAGTTTAGATTATCTGTAGTCAACCGCTATTTTATTATTGTGACTAATTTGTAAATTAAATTTTATCATAGGTATGATAGGAAAAAGCATAGTATATATAGGGTTCAGTACTATCTGTAGTTTCAGGCATCCACTGGGAGTTTCAGAAGATATCCTGAGGGTAAGGGAGGGGGCTCTGTTTTGAATGTGATTTGCCCCTCAAAGATTCATAGGCTTGAAGCTTGGATCTCTGTGGCAGTGTTTGTGGAAACTTTAAGAGATGGGACCTAGTGGGAAGTGATTAGGTCAAAAGGGGCTGCTATGGTTTGGTTCTGAAATGTCCCCCAAAGGCTACTTGTTGAAGGTTTGGTCCCCAGTGCAACAATGCTCAGAGTGGGGCTCCTGGAAAGTGACTGGATGGAGAGGGCTCTAACTTCATCAATGAGTTAATCCATTGATGGGTTCATAGTGGCTTTATTTGGAGGTGGTAGAAACTGTAGGGAATGGGAACTAGTTGGAGGAAATAGATCATTAGGGGAACTAGATCACTGAAAAGGTGCATCTCGTCCTCAGTCATTTCCTTGTTCTCTGCTTCTCAGCTGCCATGAGGTGAGTACCTTTTCTCCACCACGCCATGCCCTTCTGTCATGATGTTCTGCCTCACCAAAGGCCCAAAAACAATGGAGTTGGCTGACAGTGATCTGAAACTATAAGACAAAATAAATATTTTCTCCTCTAACTTGATTTTCTCAGATATTTTGTCCAGTGATGAAAAGCTGACTAACAAGGGCATCACCCTCAGAAGAGATTCATATGGTTCTTGAAGGACCCTAGTTATTTATCACAAGAGTAGGTTGTTACAAATGGAGTCCACCCCACATGCTTGGCTCCTTCTGCTTGCAGCTATTTTCCTTCTCATTTCTCCATCATGTTGTGATGCAGCCAATGGGGCCCCACAAGAGGCCAAACATATGGGCCCCTGCAGTCCTGGACTTTCAGCCTCCAAAACTGTTTAGGTAATAAGTCTCCTTCCTTTGCATAGTAGACAGCTTCAGGTTTTTTTTTGTTGCACCAATAGAAAATGAACTAATACTGGGTAGTACTTTATTTGGTCTTTGTCTACTA